GCTCTCGCAACCCCGGCTGTACTTAATGGATTGTCAAAAAAAGAAAGGCCGATAAATCTATAATTTAATTTACTACATAGTAGTGTAGTTAATAATTCCAGAAGTTAGTCTAGCTTAACAAATTTTATTGAAAACCTTGTAAACCTAACATATTTTATCTAAATTGGCCATTAAAGCAATTTTAAGTCTGATAAACAGTCAACTCAATTAATACCAAGAGAGCACTAGATTAGCCTAACCGTTGGATTTAAAGAGATACTAAAGTTAATATTAATTGTCAATGTTTAGTTCTCGCTTTAATATATTTCAATGTTTTTGTTTGTGATGGGAAAATCATCAAATAGTTTCACTCGGCTAGGGTGAGGCGAGAGGGTGTGTCAGACTCTTCATCATCATCATCATTAGCCTATAAGTGCCCACTGCTGAGCAAAGGCCTCTTCCCACACGGAGAAGGTTTGAGCATTAATCACCACGCTTGCTCAATGCGGGTTGGCGATTTCAAACTTACAATTAGAAATTATAAGTCCAGGTTTCCTCACGATGTTTACCTTCACCGTATGTCAGTGGTGTCTAAATAATCATAGAAAGTACATATAACTCGGAAAAAGTCACATTGGTACTTGCCAGGTTTCGAACCCACACTCTCATGCATGAGAAGCGGGCTCCTTAACCTCCAGGCCACCACGACATATACCCCCTCGTACCTTCACCTTCTTTAGGCCGAGGCCACGGTACCTTATTACGATAGCCTCGCAACCCCGGCTGGTATATCAATTGTACAGCTGGTATATCATTTTAAGAATATATAGGTTGGCTAATTAATCTAATTACATACGACTTACACACACACACACGTCTTAAACCAGATCGAGTTTTACCACTAAGTTTTTTTTTAAAGTTCTAATATGTATAGGGCTTAAATTAAAAAATATGTAAAACAAAAGAAAACTACATAGGTTGCTTGTTTTAAGGCCAATATCAAAAATACTTTAAGTATGCTTAAATATAAACACGTCTCAAGCATTTTGTGGTTCAAGTTTTAGATACCAAAAAGTTTGTACCTAATATAGGTACTTACGCATAAGTTACAAATGCTGTCTGGAAGTAAGTATTGAATAAAACAGGGCACTTACATAACTAGGACGAGAATATAAAGTTTCTGTACTTTACTATTTTTGTGGGAAGTTTCGTAAAAGTCAAGCTTTAGCGATAGTGTTTTATATTGTGGTAGATGGTATACTGGTATACTGGTAATGGCTCTAAAGTACTTTTGGTATGAAATTTCGCAGTAACTGTTCTATAATTGTATCGATTTATAAATATTATGATTGTATTTTGCTAATATCTTATCCTTTACACTGCGTTAGACCAAATAATTGTCAATCACTGCTTATATCGATGGTAGACTTGTACTTTTTTTAGTAAGAAGTCAAATGAATAATGAATCAGTAAGTGCATGATAATAATAATTAAAAACATTTCATGTTCTTATTAATAAAACTAGTTTTTGCTGGCGACTTCATTAACGTGGAGACTCTTGATTTGTATTTAGACCAGCATTTTCAAATAGAAAATCACTAAACAGAAAGGACACGGACCCCGTACTGACACATGGGCACAGTAAACTGTATTGAAGTAAAAATATTAAATAATGTTTTTTTATTTTATGAAAATCAAATTACTTATTTAGTTAAAATATAAAGAAACTTAAAAGTCAACAATTTATTGATTAGTCCATTTATACATCAAAATTAATAAACATTGCAGAATATGTAACATATATTTATTTTCAAAACATGTTAGTACATGACATACCTACTTACATATGCATAAGTTTAATGTTAAACATATGTTCAAACTATGTGTGACAGTGTATTGGTAGATTATTTTTCTACCTACTACCATAATTGATTAAGAAAAAAGGGGGACGTAAAAGTATTGTCAATCACACCTTTTTATTGATACGAAATATGAAAACTCCCCACGTTATATTGATGGAATCAAACAAACGGAAAGAAATACCAGAGAAAAAATCTTTTAAGGATTTATATTTTGTAAATGTCACTTCATGAAATAAACATATATTTCAGGTAGCAAAAAGGCTTCAGGGGCGTTAACAATTTTTGTAACAAAGTTTGTTAAATCCACGACAGACTTGTCTCAGTGCCATACCGTGAAAGCGGATCTTGACAGTAAAGCCTTGCACAACACAGTGTTAAAAGAATTTTCATATTTTTGTGACATTTTTTTTTCGCAAAAGTTTACTATGTTGCCGTATTTTGGTCAAAAATCCTTTGTTCATTTAAACCACACACACTTCAGTCCTGGAAACTGTTGTAATCTGATTAAGTTATAAACACACATACACATAGTGTGTATAATAATTTTCTTTAGTCTAATAAAGCATACATTTTATTGTTATGCCACTCGCAAACATAAGAATCCAATCCAATAATACACACATAATATAATTAATTAATGAGTAAATTCTTAGGAACACAACGAAGTTTTGAAATATATAAAAAACATAAGACTACTGCTGATAAGTGTGTCTTAAAGTGCGACGACCATATTTGCCTTCCCAGAATACCAAAAGACTTCACGTTAAGTTTAATAAGACAGATAAAAAATATTCGTCTGTATTCAGATTTAACCTTTCAATTCCAAACACAATTCAAAAACAAAAGGTTCATGAATGCCGGCATTCGCTTGAGGTTTGTTGAATAAATAATATAATAACTAGTGCCAACTAATCTTTCATTCTTCTTCTTATGATACCAATAAATCAATAAAACCAACCAAAAGTGAATATTCTTTAAAGCAATCGTATTTTGAGCGAAAATGGTTTCTGTTCCAACTACCGATGTAAAACGTAAGATTGTGTTTTAATCCGCAACGAAAAGATTCTACCATCCAATTTCATCTTTAAAAGGATCATCTTTCAATCAAAGAGTCGCACGAGGAGTTATATCACCTGGTTTTCTTAACGAAATAAACTAAATTCTAATACGTTGGATATAAATAAGATATATAATATTAGGATAGTTTCCAACTACTCAAATTCAATACATAATATACCCCGAAATATTAAACAGTCAAATTTCATTAAATTGTTCATAAAATAATATTTATTATAATAAACAGAATACAGATTTCTCTTGAATTAACAAATAAACGAATATCATAAGTTGTTATGTAATTGATACAATACATAATTCTCATTATAATGAAGTAATTTTATTACTTTTAAAGAAGGTAAGTTAACAGTTCTTATAAATAGATGGCCAGTATTGTAATTTATGGAACAGTATTGTAAAACTTAGCATAAATAAAATAATTTCCATTTTTACCAACAGTAAAAAATGGTATCTACAGCAATAAATGCCAGTAATCTTACAACAGCCATGTTAAATTTTTAGTATCTGGTTACCAGTTTAATTACAGCTTTTACGGGTAAATTTCTGTAAAAAGGGAATAGTTTTTGATAAACCAGAAAAGCATGGCTCGATAAAGTCAAGGTCATTTCAATCCTTCGGTTAACATTGCGAGAAATCAACCGATTTTTTATATAATATGGTTAAAAAGATTTTATTTTTTTTAAGAATATTATATTCATATAATCCTAAAAATACTACTACTAGGCTGGTTTGTAGTAAGACCTCTAATACACTTTAACTTTCATCCACGTACGGTCAACGCACATTTGATTAAACTATCGCACGCAATGACCATTTTAAATTCTGTTTGATTGATTTATTGAACACATTTATTTTGTTTCAATTTATTCTCAATCAGGGTAGCCACACAAGGTAATGTCATTTCAAGGTCACACATGAATAACTTAGTAGGGGAAACACGTATTCACAGTGCTCCACAGTAAAATAGCACGACAGTGGTTTATGTAAATGAGGCACTAAAATGTGTAAAAGACGATGGCGAGAAAAGGAAAGAAAATTCTCTCGAATATATTTTTAAGACTCAAAATCTAGATCTAAAATATATTTTCTCGAGCTCCTGCTATCCTACATTATTTATAAGCTAAGGTCCACATTTACTAAATGGAACGCTTATGGCACACTTAAGAAGAAATAGTTGAAGCAAATAAATATTGAAAGGGACAGAAAAATTTTGTTATTATTAGTACGGTACGTAAAAAAATAAATTGATGAACTGTAACGCTCAATAATATTGTTCCAATGTATAAATGACCAGAAATGTTTAATAATTATTTGAGGCGTATGTATATATCGCTGTGCCAAGACCTAATCAGTCAATTCTTAGGATTTTGGAACATTTGATCTATTCAATCAACGCAACGATCTTTTGTTAAAAGCGCTTAGAAGTTACTGAAATTACGGACCAAATGGACAACATTTTTCAATCTAGAACGCATCTACTCTAAAGTCTTATTGGCTAGCTGGCTCCCATTAGGATTTTTCTACGCTCAAAGCTTTTCCATGAAAGAGGAAAATGATTTTTGCATTTGACGAAAGCCATTTCATTTTGATACGACTGATGGTTTTGGACAGACCTAGCAGATGCAATCGTATTTTTCTGTGGTAGTTTCTCCCTTTTTTTAGTACAAGAATAGTTTTATTTAGTTGAATTAAAATTATTTAGGGAGAATACTGGGATTGTGTTCGTGAAATGTGACTGTGTTTTTTTTAATTCAGTTTTTTATATAAAAACTATTTTTTAATCTAAATCGTTTATGTTTTAATTACTAAAAAAAAATTGGTAGCTAATTCATATTACCTACCTAATTTTTTCAGACAATTTTTTTGCCTTAAACTGAATTTGAATTCAGTTTTTCCCTGCCCAGTTAATTTTAATTAACAAATAAATTTAACATTTTCCTAACTCATAGAAATATTTAATGAGCCTTCTCAATTAATGTTAATTTTCCAAATTAATGCAAAAAATATCTATATAAAAATACACACAGTTCAATAATGGCCACTTTATCAAAAACTATATAAATGAGAAAACTATATACTTACATTTTTCATTTAAAACCATAAGTCCGATTTGGTACCAGGCGACTATAACATTCGAAGAGCACTACCACGTTAATTCACTGCACTCCACACGACAATGTTCGGTCGAACGAGGCGAATTCGAATTATAATAGGGGTGTATATCTACCGCGGAACGATGTTACCTCGGCAAGAGGCTGCGTGGTACTGAATAAGGAGCGAACGGGAGCGCACTGACGTATACGTCACATTGGACCGCGGATGGCATACACTGCGTACAACTTGAACTTGTAATTGGTAACAGAAGAAGACTACCAGTGAAATCCTTTCGGTTTGTATAATGAGTCTTGAAATGTTTTCTTGAAACTTATTTTTGTTTATGAAACTGTTAAATGCTATTTTTCCGCAACTCCCGTTTTCTGCAGTTGATTATTAAGTTATTTTATTTACTTTGGAATGATGAGCATCATAGAATATTGGAGGATGTACTCTTAACAACGTTTCAATTAGTATTGACCCAAGGATTTATGAAGATTATAGAAATACCATGTACATATTTATATAATTATAAAATTCTGATTATTAGTTCCCAGTCAGTAATTTTAGTTTTGACAGGATTAAAATTTACCTTTATAAATTAATGCATTATGCGTTAATATTTTTAGTTAATTGGTGCAGAAAGGAGTACTTGGTTTTTATTAATTCGAAAAATGATTTTAATACGTATAAAAATAAAATGGTTAACTAACATGACCTCCAACATAAACAAAATAATTATTTTAAAGATTGATGACACATTGCGGATATGTAATGAAGAATAAAATGTACATCACGTACGTAAGAAGCAGTGTACGTGTACCAAGATTGAATGCACACGGCGTTGTAGCGACGGCCGGGACGTCATTTGAATACGCAAAGGAAACTGAGGAAGCTTCATAGACAAGCGTAATTTTTAGCAAAAATTAAAATGTTGCGTCGTTTTTTTTGCTCGTATTTTTAAGCGCCTGTCAGAAGTTTAGAAAAGATGTTTATATAAACCTTATTATTTTGGAAAAGGAATTTGAATAAAAATATTTATAAAGACGTTATATCAAAAATAACAGCAATTTTATCTGTTACGGAACCGCAGCGCATTTCTTTTTTAGTTTGGGGTCATTCAAAATAAATTTGTGGCATATTATGATTACATTATTTTTAGTAGTTCTGTCTCTGTGTTATTGATCTACTCGACGAAGGTCACTTCCAACTGGTCGATCTGGGAGTCATCTATGACGGCCTTTATTCTGAAGAAGATGTCTATTGGCTTATAATGATGATGAATAACGACACTGGAGAAACACATAGAACAGGAGGTCGGGCCAAGTTAAAAAAGTCCAATCTCCCTACTCCTGTTCCACAATCCTCGATTTCGCAATTTTTAAATCCCTGATAGCCGACATAAGATCAGCGATGCGCTTATAGTAACTCCTTTGATAGCACGAGTGTACATGAGCAACGCCGATAGCTTACAATCAGGTAATATAAGTATGCTCATTTGCCAACCTATAACATAAAAAAGTAATTCATGTTTAAACTTAAAATTTTGAGCGTGACCAAAGTGAAGCAGTGATGCTCGCAAAGGAGGGGGCGGAGCGTATAAGGGAACTATCCTCTTAGCGTCCCAGAAGGTGAAATTCGGGGCGTCGAGGATCGAGAGATGATCTCCGGCCACCGTAAGCGCGGGTCTGCGGATGGCGAGTAAGGGTAGGTCACCGCCCGACCAGAACCAGACCCGAGCGAAAGAGCCAATAGACCACCACAGACGGAGCTCTATAGGACTGATATTCAGATGGGGTTGCCGGGTAAGCGCAATAAGTCACCGCGGCTTCGGCCCAGAGCAGGAGAAGGAACGGGGATGTTTTTAGCCAGAAAGAGTCTGACACTCTCCCGCTTTACCCTGGGCGGGAGAAGTCATTTGATGATAAATGTTCCCTGAGAAAAAAAAGATGTCCTTCGTTCCATAAATTAATGCATACTCCTTTTTTAAGGACTAGAAATGCACTTGTTATTTCACTATAATCCACCTGTTCGTTCGTTTCGTTTGCCTTCCATGTAATAAGAAAAAACTTACTAAACCGACTTGCACTACGTTGTTCCTTTAAATACTTTTCTTTGAAAGTGGAATACTCCATTTTTGCCAATTTCCCATTTGTACCGTGTAAAACCTGATGTTCATTTATTTTTCACCCTTTTAGCACTGGCCAAAAATTCGCTAGGTAATTTTGGCACATTTATCGTCTATGTTAAAAAGAAGAAAACAGTAATGCTTTTTGCACTGCGTATAGATAGGAAAAAGGAGGAAATCTCCCTAAATTTACCATTTACAAAGACAAACCTACTCTACAAATGTAGAGAAACTAAAAAAGTTTAATAAAGATGTCAATATTATCTAAACTTTAAACGTTTTAGTTTTTGACCTTATAATGTCAAAGTTACATTTACGTGGGACTACTTACAGATATAAATAGATTATGAAAAACGGTACTGTTTACACCTACGTACCTATATCATTACTGTACACGTATTTAACTTTACGTAGGTCTATGAACTAATACAAAATTTAAAGCTGTACTAAACTATACTTCTGTATAAAGAAATAATAGAAGATCGACCAAAATTTTCCACATTGCCCTGGGACATTGATCACCTCATTGAGTCATGTTATTTATTTATTATCATGCAGTTAATTAGGTTTTTTTCCTTAATAAAAACTTTTTCCAGTACAGTATTTTTTTACTCAAATGTATTTTGGGCTTTATTGTTTCGACATAAAGTGGTAAATCAAATAAAAAAAATACAAATTAAAGTAGGTTGACTTGCAGGCTGGCTACTATACTGCACGCTCTGTTTATCTTTATAACAAAAAATAGCGAGAGAGAAATTTTCCCTTTGAAGTTATTTTTTTTTATTACCTGATGGTAAGCAATCAGCGCCGCCCATGGACACTCATGGTACAGAAGGAGTTATTACAAGAGACTTGCTTCTTCTTGTGGGTTATTAAGTTATATTTAAGGGTAGGAGACTTTAGGTTTGAGAATGGTATGGAGGTATTTTCATAGAACAGTCAGTAAATCAAAATTTTTATAGTTAACGTTAATAACGTTAGTGTAACAACCCTTCACTTCCTACTTTGCATGCACCTGAGCACTGTTGCTGCAAGCTTCTATGGCGAATATTTCTCCAGACAGCATCTAGTTTTTTTTTATTTGTAATGCTTAAATGGTCTTGCAATTTGCAAAACTAGTCATAAACTATATATCATAATTCGACTGCACGGTTGGCGCGGTGGCTGGGCAACGGGCTGCCGCGCAACGTGTCGCTGGTTCGATGCCCGCACGGAACAACTCTTTGTGTGATCCACAAATTGTTGCTCTGGGTCTGGGTGTTATGTGCATGTGAATTTGTATGTTTTTAAACGCACCTACGACACAGGACAAAATCTTAGTGTAGGGCAACGATTTTATAAAAAAAACAAGTTTTAGGTAAAATAAATTTAAATACACGGTATTCAAAGACTGTTTTAAGACTAACAAAGATAAAGTCAACAGGTATAGACAAAAATTGAGGATTCTTCTTATCTAAAATGAATTTTCGTCGTCAGCAGTTTTGTATGAAATGGGTTAAAATCTTCAGATATCTTTTAAAGTTATCTTTTTAGAGCTGTCATAAAATTCAGGAATCGAACAAAGCATTTTCTAGATTTTTCCGATTGTATTTTTATCTGTGTACTAGATTTTCTATTCAAACATAATGTCGTAAAATATAATCTTTTTGGATACAAAATTTATTGAATAACGACTGTCTCACGTGAATTTACTGCCATTATTTTCTTTTTATTTTACAATTAAAGGTGTAACATTCAATAATCCCCATGAAATAAATGAGGATTTATGTATTTGGCTATTTATCAAAAATTTTACACTTTTTGTTAGTTAACATTATTTTTATCATAATTTTCTATCTTTTGGTTTTAGTTTTGAAAGAGATTTCAAAATATATATTTCTATAAATTTTGTTCGTTCAGTATTAAAGAACCTTGGTGTCCAGGTTGATTCGTTATATTTTATTAGCAATTTCTAATGTTTTATTGGCCCTTAAGATAATTTCTTATGTCAAATTATTCCGCTTCAGATATTTACAAAATATCCTTGACCGATATTTTTTGCTTATTTTGTAGCCCTTTGTAAACTTTATTATAATGCATTCAACCATAAAAAACCATGATTGAAGCGAATGATGAAGAAAAGAAATATAATTTTTAATCCTTCATCCTCTTTTCTTGTCGCATTATTCGTATTATTTTGGTAAAATAAATGAGGCCAATTAAGAAATGAGTAGCAACAGTCAAAACGTATTTTTATTTATGTTAATAAATTTATTATTCGTTAAAAATATTTCACCTATTTTGTAAATAGAGGGAACATTGAAAATTTTGTTTTATTCGAGTTCCAACCAAAATATTTTTAGTAAAATTCAGATTATTCCAGATATTTTCAATAAACCAAAACTATCAAAATTAAATCCTTAACAAATATAGACTATCATCATCATCATCAGCCTATATGTGCTTACTGCTGAGCAAAGGCCTCTTCTCACATGGAGAATGTTTGAGAATTAATCACCATGCTTGGTCAAGGCGGATTGGCAATTTCAAACTTTTAATAAAAAATATAAGTCCAGGTTTCCTCACGAAAAATAATCATAGATAGTACATATAAGTCGGAAAAAGTCACATAAGTACTTGTCAGATTTCGAACACTCATGCATCAGAAACGAGTGTCTTAACCCCTGGGCAACCAAAGTACCATATAGACAATAAAAAGATTAAATGTGAAGTGAAGTATAATTCAAGAAACGAGCAATTGTACTCTCGCTATGAACAGTTGAAGGAACAGTTACAACAGTGATCAGAAAAGCAATTTAGTTGGTTGTACTCTTTGTCGTGTTCACGCGTCTGAGATGACTGACACTCAGTGGTAATATGAAATTGGAATGATAGTATACGAAGCTACATCGTATAGTATTTTAGTGTAGTACATTGCCAACTAAATGCTTTAGTTAGCAATGTACTACACTTACACTAAAGTATTTCAAATATCAGAAATTAAAGTCATAATAGCCCAACAGAAACTATTATAATGATTGTGAGTAC